ATAAGTATATAAAACGGACAGTTTTGTACACTTTCATGTATAACCCCATCTGTCAGATTCTCTTCAGGAAGTTGAGAAGGACGCATCAAGAGTTTCGAAACGTGTTTCTTGTAACATTTTGTGTTCATCATCGTTCCATCGTCTATTTGGGCACGTGACCTGCTGCGACCTTACGCCGTCCCTTCAGTGGTCTTCCCAATACAATCTTTCACACAGGATTGTAAGTATGACATCACAGTGCTTTGGTATTTTATTCTATTTGCCATCACTTCGGTAATTCTGTACAAATCTGACAAACTTTCCATGTGAATCTTCTGAATGCCTCCATTTCTTCTGTGATCTGAAGGTGCAAGCCACAAATGTTATTTCCGATGCCATCCTCATTCTAATCATCGAGGATCCACTTCCATGAAAACACATAATGCCAACGTTTTGTAAACGTCGGTTGCAGTTTGCTATTGCGCCAAACGAACTTTGGAGTGCCAGAGTCATTGCTCCAGTCACCTTTCTAAGCTTTTACATTCTTCATGACATGTCCTTGTCTTCATATGGTGCAATGAAGCTCAGACACTTGAATGTGTTGACTTGTTGCTGTAATTTGTTTTCTATACGCAATTTCCTACTAACAGCGTATTAACATAAACAGTTCATGATTTCTAGCCCATGTCTTTAGGTTTCTGACAATGCTGCATTGTTATATGACAGGCAAATCCAAAAAACCTACTCTTACAAACACCGTGATTTTGAAGACATTTTAAAAACGGAATTCACAACAGACGATGGACAAAAATTACAATAAAGAAATTAGTAATATAAAACAGTCGCAAAACGCTTTCAGGGAAAATACATCACGCTGTCTACATTTGCATGAATTATAATGAGAATGTTATGTCTTTGTTTCTCTTTCTGTCTGTCTATCTACCCGTCTGCGTGTTTCACTTCTATAAATATCGAAAGGACTTCTATTAATCTGGAATTGGTGACTCTTATTCAGTTAAATTATATTACATTACCTATATATAATCAATCAAGACAAACCAAGCCTTGTCGTCCGGTTAATTTAAGTCTGGTTCTAAACGGTCTAATGCAATCACATAGGCCTAAAGCCTACAGCTCTAAGTCTGGTCCTAAACGGTCTAATACAATCACATAGGCCTAAAGCCTACAGCTGTGTATAGAGTCTAGGCATACATAAAACTCATAAGCCCTAATTTCCATGATCCGCAAGCAGAACTTTACAGATTCTCCACATAAAACAAGACTAAATTAATCAACATAAACCTAAGATCTAAAACTTATTTAAACAATTTTCAATTCTACAAAAAAATAAATTACAAGTAAAAATAATTCATAATCCATGCACAGGCTTCGGGCTATAGTAATCCTCACTTGGAATAGCCGTACAACTTTCATCCAAGTTTTCTTCTCCACCTGACGAAACAGCTCAAAGAGTACAGCGAGAGGACAAGACAACACAGCAACAGGATATATGACGATGTCAGCAGAGTAGAAGGATGGTGAGGGTAGGAGAGGGGGGAAGATTAGTGAGTAACTAGTTGATGAAGCAAATTCTGAATTATTAAACACTGAAGAGGTTTCAAAATCTAACAGAACCACCAACCCCCACCTCAAATTCCCTGAACTTAAGTCTAACTAAACTACTACTGCATCAATTCTACCATCATTTCAACTGGTTGCTTTGAATACAGAGGGGTGATAGCTAAAGGGGTTTGGGACGGGGTGGACTTTGGTGCTGTCATATGCAAGTGACATATACCTCTCAACCCTTGTAATGAATGTACGCTACACACCCTTCAACACCCTCTCGCTCGCTATGGAGAGTGATCCTAGCATAACCATAAATCTGATTATGCCGTATGTTGGATTTAATACATACGAACATTAAGTCAGGCTTACATATGCTGTGTTGTGTGTGTGTGACTTGTAAGGACGTAACCATTAGCGGTCCAAGTTATTATATAATTTTCATACTACTGAGAATGCCTACAGTAAAAGGCCGCACCAGAGAATATACTTAAAGGGTTTGTGTTTTATGTGATAATTACCCAGACCTACAACAAACGAGTTACCACGGAGTAAATGCAACTTGTATGATGTTAATGTAAACGTATCAAACATGTTTCACAATCCGAGGCCTTCATGAATACGTGAGATCTTCAGACATGAGGACCGTAAGTTGTCATCTTTCATGCAACACATTTTTTCTGGAGTTAATTCTAAATTATTCTTGAATTCCACGTCAGTCCATTTCCATCAATACAAAATACCTATAACAAAATCGATTACGCGCGCACACACACACTGTTCATATCGAGATTACAAAATTTCATAGTTCACTGTTCGGAGTGCACTCTGACGACCAAAGAAGATGTTAACATCTCTGGACTTCCTGTGATGATTTCTGAGTATAACAACGAGAATTTCAGTGAAACATCAATCTGTAATTCTGAAGTTAGAGCCAAGGGTTTTAACGGACACAATGTCTCTCAAATTCAGCAAAATTAAATATTAATGTAAAATGCCCGTTTCAGTTTTACGAGAAATGATTTTTTCATATTTTAATCGTTTTTCCCTTTTATTTTATCCTTTATGCCTTGTGTGGCCCAAAATCCTTTCTCCGTTCCCCTTCATCAATCCCATTACGTCAAAATCAAACTTTCATCACTCAAACAAGAAGTTACTTAATTTTAACAGCTGCCTAATGGTAGCAGCACTTCTTAAATAGAATATCCTGCCGTCTAGAATCATTACTGAAAATGTGCAGGCCACTGGCGAGCATAACACAAACAAGAGTCCATCATAAACCGTATCCTATTATACGTAAATTCATTTTGCATTAGGATCCGCTTGCCTTGACACAAAAGTAAATAAATTAAAAAACGTAAGTTCACATAAAAAGAAGGCATCGGACAAGTGGTCAACATGCCTAAACCTTGATGATTATGAGACCAATCTTGGACGGAAAAAGACACAAGAAAATGAGAATATGAAACAAAAATTTGTCATGTCTACCATCAATTATTAGTAAGCCTAGTTACGCAAGGCCTACCTGTCTACTGCCATCTACTACATCCAAATAGGCCTTAGTAGTTCTGAAAATAGACTGCTACATATACATAAAGGCAGGTGTGTGTTTCCACAATACATCGTCCACGGTTCGGCCAAACTTAAATTATAAAAAGTTAATTGTAAAAATTTCTTAATGTTAGATTAAAATAATTTAGCTACAAAATGTATTTGATAAGTGCACATAAGTAGATTAAAATAATTTAGGGACAAAATGTATTTGATAAGTGCACATAAAGCCGTCACATCACACATTAAACCATCTACTACTTAAACAGAGACGTCATTAAGTCTGGACTAGTGCGCCACAAGAAAATCAATCAAACCCCTTAAAGCCGAAGGTTGTATAAACAAGTTTTTAAAAAACTAGTCTGTACCTCTAAGAAATACTAAACATGTTCCATAAAAAATCAGCTGGTTAATGCTGTTAAAAGACAACCCCTATTTACAATGAACCTCTTAAGAGATCCAGGGGGAAAAATTTAAATCTGTTGACTGTTGAAGCAGGTGGTACAAATAGTTACTACTGGGCTTACGTATTATTATTCTTTAACTGCATTAATGAAGGATCCTTTTCATTGTTAAATAATCCTACTTTCTTTGAGGTAAAAACTGAATGTTTAAATATTTTTAAGACGAGCTTTGTCACAAAGGGTTAAATCCAAATATTAATAGAGAGCAAATCGCAGGTTTTGATTTCAATGTTTTTAAAACTAGCTCCTATGTAAAGCGTGGTCCCCAGCTACACTACCGTTAAGCTTTTGTCAATACGATATTATTTTCGAAATGAAGACCCTACTTTGGGTCAATACGATATTATTTTCGAAATGAATCAAATACAAAAACTTCACAAGAATTTACGCCTATCTGCCTTATTCTGCTGCGAGTCTCCATAAGTGTTTACGAAAGCTCAAAGTCAAAATTACGAAACACCGTGTAGCCCTACAGTCTCCATAAGGTCTGATGACGTCCTTAATAGCCCCTACTCTAAGTGATTGTAGTTAATTATACTAAAAGTCGAAATTTCACTATGAGCCGACATTCAAACACGTCACACGATAACCTTAAAAGTTAAATTTACGTTCATGACGGGAAAATATTTTGATGCGATTAAATATCATAGCATACTGAAAAATTCTACGAATAACATAGGGAGAAGTACAATTTATGCAAATTTCATTTTAATTAATCTCACAAGAACAGCTTCCATGATCCGAAAAATAATCATACACGATAAGGCGGTGAGGGTCGTTTTACAAACCTGAAGCTACTAAACTCATCCTAATTTTACGCCTATTAGCACACAACTGATGCTAAAGCTTGGAGATAGCTAAATTAAAGACTATTACGTTTGTTAAAATGCCTGATAAACAAATAAAACCTACGGCTATTGAGTGTCCTTTTGATAAACTGTAATGCACAGACTATTATTTTGGATAATTTCCCCTGTATCATTTGGCTTCACATTATAAAGCACAAAGCATTAAACAAGTGTAACTGGACCCATGTTAGACTATTTTGTCACACAGCAAGAAATAAAGCATATTTCAATAAGGAAACTTTAAACAATAGCAAAGTAGGTAAATTGTACTTAAAATTATTCATCGTCTGTTCTTTAAAATCATGACGTTTCGGAAGCTGATTCTGTCTCCAGTGTCAGAGACTAGCTCTATCTAAGGGACCCAACAGAGTACGTACCTCTCTCCTGAAGACGGAGACAGAACCAACCTCCGAAACGTCGTGATTTTAAAGAACAGACGATGAATAATTTTAAGTGTAAACTACCGTCGTCAAAGCCCTTTAGAATTGAATTAGGCAAATTATGTTCACTGAACAACAGAATTAATTGTGGCAAATATGACACGGATGTGTATTGGACTTACAGCAATTAATTAAAGTAATTAGTACTTTACCTGAGTCCTGCGAAGAGCATAGAAGATGAAGGATCCCGGCGGGTGGACGGACCAGCTCGAGTCAGGTAAGGAAAGGTCCGTGAGAAGGAGAGAGAGAGAAATATGTAACTCTGCGTTGCGAATGGAAATTCAGAAAGAGAGAGAGAGAAAGAGAAGAATGTGTGAACGAGACGGGCCGATGAAAAGGAAAACTAAGAGAAAGAGACGGAAAACCGGAAAGGGGGTGGGGGTGGGTGGTTAGACTTCCGAGTTTCCTGATTGGTTGAGCGTTGTTCGTGACGCAGAAGTTGGTGCTGCGTATGCAACCTGTTTCCTTATTCCCTAATATTATTACGTAACTAGGAAGAATGGGAACGAATATTTGGCGCTGACTTCGTAATTCGAGAATTGTAAACAACAGGTGATGGTATATATTTTTTTTTTTCCACGAGGGACAAAACGAGTACACGACAACCGACAAATAAAAATAAACAGAATAAGTTATCTTCTTTCTTCCAAGGATCCAAGTCTTCTCAGATCGGGCGTTTCCTAATTTTCAATACTCGTCGATGCAGTTAAACAGAATTTATATATAATTTACACGACTGTTCTGTGGATTGTATTAAAATCTTTCTAACAATAAAACAGCTCGCCCGGGAAAACAAGACAACGATCCGCCAGGTGCCGAGCGCGTTGCCTAACTGCGAGGGGTCGCCAGCAACAGGCTGATTCCAGGGGGTGGAGATGAAGGAGGAGTCCGCAAACCGCGCAGCAGAGCCCCTCTGACGTCACAGGACGTGGGGCTGCAGGCGTGGTCGCGCATGCGTCTTAATCCTATTTATCAGATTGGTTGCTATGGTAACCGCCCATTCCTCCTCTCGCAGACAACGAGAGACATCTGGTTGTCCTGGCAACGCACGAGATGACGGCAATAAAAAAATATGTAATGATATGATGCGGATGAAACAGTATCATTGAGAAAATGGTAAGGACATATGAAGTAATTTTAAATTCGTTTATATCTCTTCTGGAAGAACAACCCCAAGACAGGATACCGGCACATAATGTACAGCTTGACACAAAAAACCCAGACCCTTTCCTCTTTGCTTGTCGCAATACAGGAATCACTAGACGACGCAGTATCAACAGGTAGGCCTAACCTAAGCATAATAATAAGAAAAAAATTTCAGAAATAGCTGCTGCATTATCTACCTCAGAGGCAAGGCTTGTCTCAGGTACATAGAAGTAAACACCCTGTAAAACGGTGAATAAGTAAAATAATAATACTGGACCGTCAACGTACAAAAGTACCTGTGATTGACCTTCTGCCAAAGGTAATCTGAGCACAGGCCAAAAATAAACATTTAAATCAAAGAGAAATTGAAGCTGGTGGCAGCATTTTCACAGCAAGCCAAAATAATTTCAACACATTACATCAAAACCCTAGATAAAGAAGAGAATTTATGTAGTAGGATATTGTATGTGCCACTGTCTTGTCTTGGTCATCAAAATAAAATCTAAAATTCGGAACATATTTAAAGAAAAATACAAGTGAAACAGGTCTAATCGTCGTTATATTATTCTAAAAATTCTGTGAAACACATGCAAAAACCAGGCCTACACTCAGTGAATAAAACGCAGAATTGCCGAATGTTGAAGTAGCTGATACCTTTATAGAGGAGAAATAAATAAATAAATATACCACTGTGTTTTACAATGTTATCTGTGGCAAAGGGTCCATCTTACGAATCTGAGTCGCTCGGACAAGAAACTGCTCGCCTTTCATGAAACCCAAATGTTCGTCACCGATCAGTCCTGAGCCAGAAAATCCAGATGAAACATCCTACGGTATTTCCTTAAGATCCAATTTAGTATGATTTCATTTATCATAACAAAATGTAAACGCTGTATGGAATAACTGAATAAAAAAGTTATCAAAAATGGCGAAATAATACGTTTTGGCAGTCCAGCCTCGTGTCTGACGGGTAGCCCTATTCAAACAGACCTCATATGGGCCTATTTTGTAAATAAAATCACTACTGCTGATTAGTTACTCGTCAATGAATGGCAATTAGAATTCCATCTTCACTGTAGAATGAGGGGCAATGCTAAATAGGATGTGGAAATTTGCAGGGTCTTACGATGGTCTATCTGATAAAAATAGCAAGCTGCCAAGGAATAAAATATATATGATGTCCTAACATGTTAGAGAACGACATAATATTAGGCCTATTAAAGGCTTCCAGGATCTAATAAATCTATGTAGAAGTAAAGGTCTTTAATAGACTATAGAATACAGACCCGGTATGTGTGATTATGATGAAGTCATTAATATTGTTTCAAATCTTGAGTGGTTCCTGAAACCATGAAATACTTGGCGACTGGGGAATATAGGCCTATTTAAAATAAGCTAGTAACTGTTCTATTTGATGTATGATCTGAAGATTTCACGGCGACTAAATATAATAAATTCTTCTCGGCCTTCCATCAGACCTAAATGACACAATTAAAAGTCTCCATCTATCTTATCTAAGACGAATATATTTGGCTATTAATAATCAGTCTACTTTGTATTTAGATTAATCAACTCAGTCACAGATTAATTCAATGGTTACTGAAATGTACTGAAAGAAATAGACACAGAAATCTAACATCGTTTACAAGGAGGTTCCACTGCATGCAAATGTATCACAGGATGAAAACCGCTTCTTTAGTCGATTTTAATTATTTAAAATGCAACGACTGCATCGGTTGGCCACTGTAATCGAATAACGTTCAATATATTTTAGATCCTCAGAACCGCTTAAATGCATCACAGAACTTTCATTTTGTTTCTCAATATTACAACTCCATCAAAATTAACTCTCCGGCAGATTTTTTGGTTAATGCACCGTTGGAAAGCGGAAACAGAACTGACATCCACTTTGAAATGCAGGTGTCTACTTACAGACTTGTTGTTTAACTGCGGCTGACATGACCTGCTGTTAGTACTCACCTGAAATAAAAGAGAAACAATTATTGAGGTTCTCACGGCGGTGAGAATGGCTTCTGGGTTGTGACGCAGTTTAGACTCGCAAGAAGATTCCAACGTTTCAAAACAATCGCACCGTCACCTCCTCTGAGCATCAATGTGACGTCACAACCCAGAAAAAAACATAGTTAATTATAGTAGTAGTGACCACAAGGGCTGATTTCAGAAAGGTACAATACCGTAATAGATGCATATCAATAATTAAAGCCCGCAGGCACAACACATTTCAAATAACTATTTCGTGTATGTTTCAAAACACAAAAGACAACACGCACTTCGGGCTACAATTGGACCAAGACAACAACAGAATAAACTTGAAATTTAGGCCTATAAAAGCACCAGGGAAGGCTTCGTCCCTGACTTATATACCCACGTAAATAGAAGGTTGTGTTCAACTGTAGTTTCCAAAGTAATATACTAGACTGTAGGCCAACTCTTAGCTTACAGTTGAGTTGGTTGATAACACAATGGCAGATAACACGAACGATGACTCAAAACAGACCGCAAATGTGACGCCACAAAGGACAGAGGACACCAAACACTCTAAAGATTTCATTCAAAAAAAAGGGAGTGATAAGAGTGCAGAATCCGTCCTCCTGAACCTAATCTTCTTGGCTCTTCTAAGTGACGTCTTCGTCGTGACACGATTTCACTTAAAGCGTCCGATACAAAGACTCAAGCAGAAGAAGGACTGCGATACGCCTTGTCTGAAGGCTTACACAGAGACAACAAACGAGCAAAACCAGCGCAACTGAGTCTTTCTTGAGAAACTGACAGCCGTTCAGCTTGTCAAAACATACCCAGTTGACTACGGAACACGAATGACCATCATAATAGCCCGCCACTGATCCGTGCCCAGGGCCATTCGAATCTGTAATAAATAAAATTGTTCTTTAGGACTTCATCCATCGTTCAAATTATAAAAGTATAACAACAGAACGTTTCGGAAGCTGAATTATGCTTCTATCTTCAGGAAGACCCCCTGGTTAAGCTAGCCACAGGTCTGAATGCAGTCTTCACTCTCAAACAGATCTCCTGGTACTTCTTAAAGACCAATTTCGAAAATGTCTTCCTGGGTGTTCTGCTCCTTTCAGGCTGTCTGATAGCATTCCTCACCTCCTCCGTGCGAGCTACATAAGCGTCTATCTCATACTTAACTTCATCACTGCAATATGAGAAATTAATGTGAACAGTATCAATTATGATGCTGCTAATTATGCAGTTTTCTCATTACTGTTATTACCTCTGAGTCAGGCTGAAGTATCCTCCTCGGCACCCTGTTCTCAAACACCCTCAACTTATTTCCTTTCCTTCCGGTAGGAGACTCGGCTGAGCAACGCGTTATTAATTCTATGGAGCAGAGTCCGTCTCAGGAAGCCAACAGTAGCTACGTTCAGCTAGTTAGAAATTTACCGCCTTTTATAAAACCTTTAGATTTATAACCATGTTTAAAATAACCCACAATCGGTTCTTATTCTGAGCCATATGAAATCAATTCACCCACTCCAGTCACATTTCCCCAAGTTGGATTTTGAAAACTGGGTATATGTTGATGACTGTCATCACCAGAGAGCAGGAAAAAATCGTAGCATAAATACAGTTAGTGGATTCCTTAAAACGTGGCAAAGTTCAGATATCTGTGAGCGACGCTAACAAATAATAACTTCATTAATAACGAAATTAGGAGTAGATTAAATTCGGGTAATGCTTGTTACCATTCAGTTCAGGACCCTTTATCTCTTCGTCTGCTGACTAAAAGCGTAAAGATTAAAACACATAAAACTATAATTTTGCCTGTAGTTTTGTATGGATGTGAAACTTGGTCTCTGACACTAAGGGAGGAACGTAGAACAGAGTGATAAGGAAAATATTTGGAACTAAGAGGGATGCATTACTAGGAGGCTGGAGAAAGCTGCATAATGAGCACCTTCATAACTTGTACTCCTCGTCAAATGCAACTAGACTGATCAAGTCAAGGAGGATGAGACGTTGCAGCCCGCATGGGAGAGAAGAGGACCGCATATAGGGTTTTCGTGGGCAAACAAAAAGAAAAAAAGCACTAGGAGACCTAGGCATAGGTGGGAGTATAATATTAAAATTGATTTGTGATAAACAGGATGGGGTGGTATGGACTGGATTCATCTGGCTCAGGATAGGGACCAATGGACACGGTAATGAACCTTTGGGTCCCAAGAAATTTTGGAAAATTCTTGAGCGTCTGTTGGCCTCTCAGGAAGGACTCAGCTCCATGGAGTAAGTTAGTAAGTTGTATTTTAATATTATCCTTCCATTTACACAGGCTTCCAAGAAACATTTCGTAAGCATGTATCACTCTGCGCTCCGTACTGACTCATAAACACGTAGCTTGGATTAAATAATCACAACTCTGAATGTGCGACCAAGGGACAGACAGTCCTTGCGGAACACAGGAAACCTGTCTTGTCCATTATGTTCTGCGCCCTATTCACACTTCATCATTAACTGAACATTGCCTATAACTGATGCCAAACAGCATCACACGGACGCCAGAAATACGACGCAGTACCGACCTTTCCAATCGGCGTCCTCATTTCAGACACGCTCATTATATAAGAAACATGGCTTCACATCGGACAAATGGAACATGGAAGCTAGTAAAATTACACGTAAAAGCAG